ATGTGAGAGATATGTTTATCGAGAGACATGTTGTTAGAAAGAATATAACCAAGATTCCTAGCAGAGGGTGTAAACTGTATGTCGGAGTTACCTACTTGAAATGAGGTGGGAAGAGTTGAGGTAGAGGATGATTTGTGATTGTAAATGAGGAGTGCTTCTGTTTTGTCATCATTAAGCTTCAACTTGCTGAGTGTCATCCAAGACTTGACATCATCAATGCACCCCCGCAAAGTCTGGACAGCGGAATCGACAAGAGATGGATGGGTATGCATGTATAGCTGCGTATCATCTGCAAATGACTGGTTCTCAACAGCATGCCTCCCGAGCAAGAGGAGTAGTGGTCTGGTATACATTATGAATAGAACCGGACCCAAAACGGACCCCTGTGGCACTCCGTACACCAAATCAGCACTGCCGGAGAGACAGCCATAACCCCTTCGTACACGTTGTATAAATGGAGTCCTTTAAAACCGATTTAAAGACACACCTATTTCGCAAACACCTTCTGAGATGATTGTCTACCTTATTTTCCATTTAATGCATAATGGCTGTGTTGCTTATGGTTGAAATGGCTAGAAAGACTTTGCCATTGTATGCTTGTAATTAGTTTTTGTAGTGTTGCGTTTGTTTTAAATGTGGTAAATTATAGATTTCTTTTTTGTTGACTTTGTACCGCGCTTCGAGCCTTTGGGGATGAAGCGTGTTTTTGAAATGAACTTTATTATTATTATTTGTACACATGACTTTAACTATAATTCTTCATTTGAAATTTATTTTAAATAAATATTGTTTTGCTATTTATAAAATTATTACAAATAATTAAACTTTTTGATCCGAAAATCTTTTTCCTATAAAGTTTATAATACTTCGATATTTACGATGGCGTCCAGGGAAAAAATATGCATTCAGGTAAGTGTTTTGTACAGGTTAAAAATTTAATTTATAGTTAGATTTCCTTTGATAACGCATTTTGAAACGATAATTAAAGTTTTTTTCTTTGTGTAAATATGATTTGTATGTTTATAAAAAGATTTCTGTGTGCTACAGAATTTTTGAAATAGTGGTGTACACAAATGTTCACAGATTCACAGTGTGCTGCTGTGCTTCAAATAAGTAAAGTAAAAAAAGTGCGATTAATAGGTTAAATAGTGAATTATAGGATTCGTACTAGCTAGATATCTAGTTGTCTATCATTGCTGTCAATTTAGGTAAAAGTGCAGTTCAGGTGCGTATATTATTTCTTAGCGCATTTCGTATTTTAACATTTTTTATCATGTAAACTTACGTGTATTCTTTAATAATTTAATACAGGCAGTTATAGTTAACTAATTCTGGATTATAAATCACATCTTTTCTTTTTATTTTGCTTCTAAAGAGTCTTTAAACATCCCCCAACCAAAGTGACACAGCCCCCATTTGTTTGTATTTTTCTTTTTACGCTATGCCAGATTTTTAGCCACCTATATTCTAATCTTCATGCCATGAATCATGGCATGGGCGGGGGTGGCATTTTTTCAGTCATTTGCAGATTTTTCTTCGTCTTGTAAGATATAGTAAGAGTAAGGCCAAGGCCACGGGGTTGGCAAAAAAATGTTTCCTTGCCCTGAGCACTACTAACTCTAGAGTCACTGTGTTTGTGCATAGGCATAAATGGGTATAAATGTACTATTCATTGTTACTCATGTCACTGTGATTGTAAAAGTAAAACCATCATTTAAGTAGTAAAGTTAATTATAAGTATTAGTCATAAGGCTTTACAGTACAGTATTAGTATTACATTAAAAAGGAAGAGCAATCCATTCTAAAGGGATTCCCATCTGTATGTTACAAACCATATGCACTGAAGAAAGGGTGGGATTGCAAAAAATTAAATTAAATGATTTTACTATGATATATACTTGTTCTAAAGCTGACTTTTTTGTGAAATATTTCAGTTCAATTAAGAAACATGTTTTTTTTTTTTTTGGGNAGAAGGGGGGTGGGGGTCAGTTTATGAGCAGGTAATAGAAGATTTTTTAATAATTTCTTTCAGGTGCTTATAATAATAAAGTTGCATTTATAGATTGTAGAGTTCCCAGTCTACTGTACTTTTTACAACGAAAATTGAATACATTGCCAGAAGCTTTAACTTTAAATATTTATAAAAATCTGCTATTGCCTTGATTTGTTAAAATACATAACATAAAAAACAAAGGTACCAGAAGTGGATGGTGTCCGTATTCAGTTCCTTTTAGCACCAGCATAATCTCATCTTTGATATTCTTTGCTTTGGACATTGGTACCATATTGCTTAAACTGGCATATTATTTTATGTTTTACCATCATGTGCTGGTTATTACACTTTATAGGCTATTCCCTTCCAAAATGGGAAGGGGTGGATGTCGTCTTATGAACAAATGGGCTTTAGGGTGTGAATCTGTGGTAGTTACTTACATTATAATTTCTCTAACTAAAATCCCAATAGAACTTACACTGCAGCCCTAATTCTTGAGACATCTTTTTATAAGAAGGTGCAGACTAAAATACTTGAATTTTACTATTTAATTGTTGGGGGTGGATGACATCCCAATTGCCACTTTATTCTTTAGTTTTATTTAATAAGCTTATAAATCTTTGGTTCATTTTAACATTTAAGGCCATTGTAGCTAGAAGAAGCTTCAAAACAAAGACACGTTGCCAGGCCTACATCCAAATAAAATGCTTTTGTGATAAGATAAATATGAGGCATGAACTATGCTCAGCAACTCAAAGATAAAATCTTAAAGAAATTTACAAAGAAAACAGTTAGTAATGATTTGCAAAAAATGGCTACCAGTCCATCAAGCCCTTCTATCACAGAAAATGAATGTGCACTAAAGCAATGTTTGAAACGATCACCGATAAATAGTATGGAATCAAGAGTAGAAGTCAAGTCATTTGAGGTAATTATTAAATTACAATTGAGCATCAATATTTCAAGCGCTGATTATCCAAACGGCTGAAGTTTTTTATTATAATTATTATTATTGTAGGCAATGCTCTTGTCATAAAACATTTTTGTAAGCACCAGACAACAATTGCATCACCTGGCTCACCTCTAAAGATCATCTCTTTTCACAGAAAAATTCAGGTCCCACCAGATTTTGACAGTAATGACCCGTTAATTATTATTGTGTTGCATGGTTGATACAGTGTACATTTTAACAGTGTTTCTTGGTCAATACCCCCCAATCACCTTCCCTGAAGAGCCTGAAAAACTTTGAAAAAAGACTAGATGCTTAAAAAAAGACCATTTTTAAAAATAATAATAACATGGAAGTGGGCCTAATCTTCATTAGAAAAATGTTTGCATTTTGATTTTAAGCAACAATTACTTTTATCTGTATATAAATGAATAGTTTATTAAAAATCATTTTTTAAACTTAAATCAATAACTAAATTTTGTAGATACTGTCATATATGTATATATATATATATATAATTTTCTTTGTCTAATATTTTTAGGAAATTTAAAAAAAAAAATTTCTTAAATAATTGTGAAGATTTAACTTAATCATTACCAGACCACCTTTTAAAAATAAATATTTCATTTTATTGCTTACCCCAGCCTAAATCTAAAAGCCAAACAATGTTAGTTAATTGGAAAGAAGGTGGCGCTGCTAACTTTCACTACTCCTGCTGGGATGCTCTGTTAAAGTCTGCTGCTGATGCATACAGACCAAGTCAATTTCATTTGTCTGACCTGGAGAGGACGATGATACTTGAGGCAAGAAAGACAGCTGAATTGTTTGACTCACATGCCAAGATTTGTGGCAATGCTGCTCATATTGCAGAGATCCTCAAAGTCAGTCACAACTGTATAGCTTTCACAGGTAAATAAGAATTTCTCTGAGGTTCTTCTTCTTCTATATATTAATGGCCCACGATCAATTTATTGATCATTTTGGCTCCTATGTATGTAGAAGGGATTTGCAATGTTTCTGTGCCTGGTGTTGATGAGGACATTTCACTGATTTCCAGTGCCACTTTATGAGGAAATTATGCACTGGGGGTTTGAAGGCTTTAGGCAATAGACACAAATGAGTCTAGTGTTGTCGCCTCAACTGTTCCTTTTGAAAGCTTGTTCCAGTCCCTGATTGTCTTGGGCAGGAATGAGCAGCTCCTATACTGGCTTCTTGTTGGTATGAGCCTGAATTGCCTGTCATGGCCTCGTGGCTGTCTATTGGGGAGAGGGACGAGTTTTTGTTTAATACTGGAACAGTGGACCAGCCCATTATTTATCTTGTACATAATGCCGTGATGCTAAAGTTTATCCAGGGACTTTTTATTACATTGTTTATATTAAAATAAAATTTAAAGAAACTGTTTAAAATATGACTAAAAATGATTAATGAGTTTATCTCCTCCACCAATAATTATTATATTTAATCGTTCTGTTTTTTTTTTATTGTAGCATGTAAGTCACGAAAAGTGACAAAGTTGAAAAAGACAATTAACATTAGTAAAGCATGTCTTACAATAATCACAAAAACATTTTTCATGAACTTTTAAAAATATTATTACATAATAATAAATGATACTTCAATTCATGTGTGCATGTATCATGTATAAACATGCATAAATAAATCCTTGAAGGCCTCAAACTGATTTTTTTATACGGCTGTGAAGACAGGAAATTATTTATTTTTTAATACATATAGATGGGCATTTTTATATTTTTAAAAAAAATGTTGATTTTAAAACATTTTAAAGGAAGACAAATTAATAGCTAAGGATATGAAAATAAGAAGTTTGAAGTATGAAATATGAAGCCCAGAGCTGCTATTGGTTCTTTGCTCTTTCATCTATTTATGAATTCAATGTGTCTCCAGGTGCTGGCATTTCAACAGCTGCTGGCATAGGAGATTTTCGAGGGAAAGATGGTAAATGGACAAACCAGGACAAGAAAAAAAATTTTGGTATTTGTATAATTCAAATTTTTGTTTTTAATTCAGCACAGTGTTTCACTTGCACTTGTACCATCCAGTAAGTTGTAAATTGATTTTAAATAAAATGCGTCAGACTTGTTATAATCCCAGGTGCCAACATTTTAGTTAAAATTCATGAAAAGACACAAACAAAATTATTAGAAAATAACTTATAAGCGTAAAAGTACAGTAACTGACTAATCATTAAGTTTTGATATTGTTGCCAGCATGATAGTAGCATTGTCTGCCTCTCAACCAAAAGGTGGTGGCTAGAATGTTTTTGAGGTTCTTCCCAGTATATTGGAGTAATTTATTTGGAGGGGTTGGGGGGGGGGCAGTATTCCTTCATTGCATGGGATTAAACATTAGCTTTTTTGTTAAAAAAACGGAGCTGTTTTTCTAAATGTGGAAGGGAAAAAAAATAAATGTAAGTGCTAAAGATACCAGATTGTTCAACTGTGAACTTAAAATGCATCACACTTGATGTTTACAACAAAAATACAGAATAAAAAAATGCATCTTGGTCTAAAGGCAAAACGTTTAGCCAGCTAAGAAAAAGTATGGTAAAAAATAAATTGTTTCAGCTGATGATGGGTTAACGATAGACATCGACCATGGCAGCATAGTTGTATACTTTTTTAAAATTGTCGTCCAGATGTTTAACGCAATTAAATAGTCAGAGCTTTTTATTTGACATGATTTATTAAAGATATTTTCGAATAACTTGTTCTTTGTTTCTGTTTCAAGACCATAACCCTATTGTGAAGTACAGACTTGCAGACACACAAACAACTCTTTCTATTTCTACAAACAGGCTCAGATTCAGGACAAAACACCAGCCGTAGGCTGAATCTCTCTGAGCTTCGTCCAACATACACTCACGAAGCCTTGTGTAAACTGTTGGAAATGGGCCTGCTTAAGTTCATAATCAGTCAAAATACAGATGGACTCCACTGCTTGTCAGGGGTGCCACCTGAAAAGCTGGCAGAGTTGCATGGGAACTCATTTGTGGAAAAGTGTGAAAAATGTCAAACAAGTTATGAAAGGACTTTTGGGGTCAGGAGGAGGCTGTCTGAGAATTGTCCCCCCAGGCCATGTCTGCAGTGTAAACTTGATCACAGGACTGGAAGAAAATGCTCCCAAACTGTAAGCTCACTCATTAATGATCATAATTTTACATCAGAACAACAATGCCTTAGATGTATGAATATATATTCAATTTTGGAACAAGTTTCAAATGAATCTTTTATGTTTGATAATTAAATCTCATGCTATTCATGTGCTCTGGAGCCGTTTTATTTTAGAAATAGTCCCTAGCATTTGAGTTCTGTTTTCTTGGCCTTTTCAACTCCGAGTGGAGCATAGGCCATCAACAAATCTCTTATCTTATCCTTCTTTATCTCTCTTTGCCAGGTGTTCTTTTTCTTGATCCTCCTAGGGTATGATGCCAGTGCTTGCATAGTTATATTTGGCATCTGTTTTCTTATAGTATCACCTGTCCATCTCCATCTCCTTTTTTTAAATTCTTGCACCCTTGAGATTTGTGCTGTCACTCCCCTCACATCTTGAATACAAAAAGGAGGGGGTAGGGTGGTTTGTGCAACCATCAAGTGATTTCAGTTAAATCACAAAATTGAATATCAGTTGTCAAAAAAATGTGAAAATCATGTTTTTTAAATTTTATTTTAAATGATGGTGCAAAAATAATTTTTGGGTAATCTTAACCGCAGAAGCCACAGTGCATTTAAATAAGCTATTGCTGTTTAACCATGCGTGGAAACACAACACAACTGTGGACTGGGGTCCCTGATTGTTCACTGGCCAAGTTCTTTGCATCACACACACCATTGCTAACAGAGGAAAATAAAATGTGTGTTGATAATTTACCAAATATTTGGGTTGCTACATTAGTGAATTCATTATGTGAATCTCAACAGGGATGTGATGGTTGTCTGATGAATACTATCATTAACTTTGGTGACCACTTGGAGTCTAGAGTCTTAAAAAAAGCGGAGGTGGAAGCAGAAAAAGCTGATGCAGTGTTAATTCTAGGCTCAACTTTGATGGTCTCACCTGCCCACTACCTGGTCACTAAAGGCCCTGAGCCACATCGGCTTATCATTTGCAACAGGTTGATCAAATCTTATTACTTTGATTTGAATTTTTAAAAAAAAAAGATCTTTAGATTTAAAATAATGTGTAGCATGTAACTATGATATGTAGCTGTGATATGTAGCTTAACTATATAGCTATGATATGTAGCTGTGATATGTAGCTAGTGTATGTGTATGTAGCTTAATAATATTTCATGTAGTCATGATATGTAGCAATGCTATGTAGCTTTGATATGTAGCTATATCACTTAACTACATAGCTATGATATGTAGCTATGATATGTAGCTGTGCTATGTAGCTATGATATGTAGCTGGGGTATTTAGCTCAGTAATATTTCATGTAGCTATGATATGAAGCTATGCTATGTAGCTGAGACCAATAGCTCAGTAAAATTAGTGTAGCTTTGATATGCAGCTGTGTAATAGTACTATTTGCAAGTGAATAATTAAACAAATTTGGTTGATCAGTTTAAAACAGAAGAAAACAATTTAACTTGCTCTAAGGGAAATATTTCAGTTTATTACACATTTATTTTTAGTTTTTTTATGGTCATCTTTCCACCCAGAGAATTTCTTAACTATGAAAGTACTAAAATATTGCCAACTATAATTAAAAGACAAAAATAATTAAGGGCTTGTTGATGTCAAGAGTCATGTATTAATTTATTTACTTGTGTTCATTTTCCCTTGTGTTTTTAATTTGAAGAGAGAAGAAATCTAAAGTATATAGGCTACGATTTGAAAACTACTGCTAAGTAGATGGGTTGACAGATCAAAACATAGATTGTTTCTTTCATTGTATCCACTTATGTGGATTGTACCTTTCATTGTCTGCTTATGTGGATTATCTATCATTGTGTCTGCTTATGTGGCTTGTATCTTTCATTGTAGCTGCTTATGTGGATTGTATCTTTAATTGTGTCTGCTTATGTGGATTATCTATCATTGTGACTGCTTATGTGGCTTGTATCTTTCATTGTGTCTGCCTATGTGGATTGTATCTTTAATTGTGTCTGCTTATGATGCTCTGCTGACTAGAGCATTATCTTATTTTGTGAAACTTACTCATACACTGTCAACGTTTTCACTCATAAAATGAGTAAATGACTGTATTGTAATTTCTTTTTTTTATTCTTGCTTCAGACAAGTCACCCACTATGATGAAGTCTGTACAAGAATCGGACCAGACGGCGAGCAGCTGGGCTCAAGGGTGTTTGGGGACTGTGATAATCTTATGAAGGAGCTCATGAAGAAAATACTTCCTGCTGAAGAGCTCTGTAGGTGGGAGGCAGGGAGGACTCAGAGGATGAAAGAATATAACAAAATGCGTGCTGCTTGATACATCTCATCTCATACCAAAAAAGATGACATGAACTAGCAATCACGAACTGTTTAAACACATGATATGTAAATGATCAATTTGCCGATGATTTGAACACATTATACAAATTATCTCACTCCAACCATTTAGACATGTGATATTGTTTAGCAATAGTCAGTAGACCAATAAAATAGACCTTTATAGAGACAACTATGGCTGAGAGTGTTAAATTTATTTCTCACAGTTTTTTAAATGAGACAGAGTTGTGGACAGGACTCTTGAGCAATTGAAAACCTTAGTTTCAGATCCTTATGTTGAATCATTAAAAATGTTGTGAAAATAACATCACTCAATGCACATAACTAGCTTAAGTCAATGATAAGTACTCTTGTCATTTCATATATAAATCAATGACAGGTACTCTTGTCATTTCATATATAAATCAATGATAGGTACTAAAATAAAATTTTATTGAACAACCCCTTGGAGAGTGCCAACGACTGTAAAATTATCTTAACATTACTACCTCACAGCTGACTCAACTTTCTCATTTCACTTACTGCCGCTTATAAATTCAACCACATCTGGACATGGCAGAACAAATGAAACACAAATATCAGATTTGGACAAGGCCTCAGAAAATGACGTTTATTGAACAGAAATACCCACTCAAAATAGTGGTGAAATCCTCATCCCATTAATTAAACTGGTGACTTCTCACAATGATAAGACACATGCATGTACACTAGAACATCCGCAGAAAAAAATACATACACCATTTTGCATAGGAATAACACATGCAAATAATAAACCAAAAAACGTAACACAAATGCATAAGCAAATAAGTTTGGAAAAAGTATACCAATAATATTGGAAATACCACACATACTTCCAATATACCAAATAGCATGGGAATATAGCACATACATATAAAAATTAGAATGGAAAAAACAAACATAAACAAACTATTTGTCATGGAAATAACAGACATAGATATATAAATTTGCATGGAAATAACACAAATGCATGTACAAATTGGCATGGAAATAACACACATGCATGGGCGCCCGCAGAAAACTTTCTGGGGGGGGGGCAGAAAAAATCGATTGTTTTGTGTTGGGTAGTGGTGGGGGGGATTTTTTTAGTAATGTTTTAATATAGTTTTAATTTACTGTAGCGTATTTGTATGGTGAACGAACGGACAGGACATCAGCTTAGTTACTTTCTCTTTATTTTCTCTTTACTTTAATAATTTTTTTGCCGCTCCCCTTGCGGGCGCCCATGCACACGTGCATATACAAATGGCATGGAAATAACACATACATATGCTAATTGGCATGGGAATAAGAAACATACATATACAAAAAAAAATTGGCATGGAAATTACACAAATACATATATAAATTGGCATGGAAATAACAAACATGCACATACCACTACTATTTGGTGTGGAAAAAACGCACACATACTAATTGGTATGGAAAATCACACATATAAAAATGAGCATAAATGTCCAGGCTGGGATACTGCGAGTTCCAAAAGTGTTCCTTAAAATTAATTCAGTATAAACGTCTGAAAATGCCAAGAATAAAAAGGGCTCATGATTTTATCCTAAGCACGACTCGCTCTTGCGGGTTCATTTGCCGTTACGGGAACTTGTGCAGCGTTACTTTTAGTCAATTTCTTCCCGGGGATTCTCTGGATTCGAGCTCAGGAAAAGATATCCCAAAGCAGAAATGACGCCACTGGTGCCAAGCTGTATCATCCGCACATGTTCCCTTGGGTTAAGCTGATGTGTAGAGAGAGGTAGAGGCCTTATGATTTTGTCCTGCAAAGCATACAACATCAAAAGTATACTCCATCAGAAGTATACACCATCATCAGGGTGTGACGGACGGGTGCCCCCCCCCCCCACCAAAAAATAAATAAAAATAATAAAAATTATTATTATTATAGGGCCTATATTAAGTGTACATTGGGTTGGTGAATATCCGCTTTCATAGCATTTGTTGTTGTCATGGTTTCGCTGAGTTACCGTGAATTGAGAGGAAAGAAATTATTGTGGTAAAAGTATAAATTTAGTTTTAAAATACTTTATAATTGGGTATGTTTTAATTACCCCCACTTAACTTACTGGGGTCGAATTTAGAAACAATAAAGATGACAAGCTACTCTCTTTTACAAAAAAATTGAACGTAGCCTATAAAGCTGATCGTTTTGTAGAAATATAGACATAGATGATATAAAGCTGATTGTTTTAGTTGAAAGATCAATTCACCATGACTTCATTTCTATAAGAATTTCTTGTGCGCTATTCCGAGTATTCCCTCTCCCATTCGTGATAACATCAACAGGTTTGCATGATGAGTTTTTCTATTGAAATAAGCGAAACGTATTTTCCTTTCAAATAAACAAAAACATAAGTCATTTATTAGAGAGTCAAGAACATTTGGATCAAGTGAGTTTTAATATTAATCCAATTTCATTACACGTTAGTCGTTAAAATTCTCTCGGCCATAACGCTATGTTCAATAGGTGTGCACAATTTTTTAAAAATCTTACAAGTTTATACTTATGATTATACGATAACACACCGATAGAGCTATTGATAAGTTTTTGGTTATTGTAGACTGACATTTTTTTATTCCAAAATGTCTTGGAAATTTAGCAGAACATATGTTTACTTTTTTTTTAACTTTCTTGTAAACTTTGGCTAAAATTTACATTTTAATTACGGAGTGGCTATAGGTACCCGGTAACCAATAACAGCAAATGGCTATTCGGACCCGGCTGGTCACGTGATGGTTATGACGTATACTTCCTGTTGGTTTTCCATCTTTCCATCTTTGAGCCATCATTATCAATCGAGAAATTTGCAATATTTTGAAGACTTATAAGAAGCGCTGAAGAAACAAGAAGAACATTTTGACATACAGATAAAAGCAAGTAAGAATACGTTTATGTTTATAATTTTACTGTATTTGTTAATTCTGTTTTAAATATAGTTGTATAATCATTAACATGACATCAATCAAGATTCAAGGTCAAAGTTGCTTTTTTTTTTTTTTTGCGGCAAATCGGCTACAGTCCTATCTGTAGTTGTAATGAAAAGTTTGGCTGCGGCTATTAGGACCCTGTAGCAGAAGTGGATACTTCAATTTTAATTCACCGCAAAAATTATTATTATTCACACTTCTCATAAAAGAATAAAAAACGGTAAATTCGGAGAGATCAGCCCGCGGCCGCCATCTTGGTTATCGTGACCCACGAACTTATGTCGCTAAATGTATCCCTAAACCTAACCTGAACCCTAAATGTATCCCTAAAACTAACACTAACATGAACCCTAAAATGTATCCCTAAACCTAACCTTAGATACTTCGGTAAACCAAGGGAGGCTACTACTTTTTGTGTATCGGAAATGGCAATCAGCGCCGAAAAATCTGAGTTTTAAATTTTCCGATGTGTGTCTGTTTATTATTAAATGAGTGCTTTCGACATATATCTTAGTTCGTTTCCGGACTTATAATTAGGTAGACATGTTGGCCTACATTTACATTGATTTTTAAAAATTGTTCAATCGACCTGTATTTTGAGATTCCCCTTTAAATATAAGGCATCTTTAACACTTCAGGTTGCAGCAGGACGCAGTCTGGGAGCCTCTGTCCTAGTCAATGACATGCCATAATAAACACATATCTTTACATTTTCTCTTAACACCTAGCATCATCCTAACCCCACTTCCAATAATAAATATTAGTATCTTGATCCTTTGAATGCACTTTATATATAAAGATACATCCCGCTAGTGCATGTAAGACAATATCGGAATGGTTAGCTTCACTGATTTGGTTGGGGTATGGTCTTGGACATTCCTAATTTAGTTAACATTAGATAAAAATCCATAAAAAATCTGCTGTAATGGAAATAATAAAAAAATGCAAAAGAGCTATTTAGATTGATTGCTTCTTATATTTAGATTCATCTGTAGCTAAAGCAGAGCCGAAACAACCCCAAATCTGTCTGTAGTAGAGCTCTGTTAAAAACTCGTTTACAGCATACATTTTTTGGTTAAAATCATAGTAGTAATAAATCAAGAATTACATCTTGCAGGTTAGATTTATATTATTATTGATCTGTGACAAAAAAATCTTATTTAAATTTTTAAAGATTCTCTACTCTAATGCAGTTGTAGTTAAAATCTTGCACTGAGCTTGACTTGACATTTTTGAAGGTTTTCTTTGGTTCATTTAACACCACCTCCCTAAATACTAAAGAGCTTGAAATTAAAGAGCGCGAATACTCACTAATTCCAATAGTGGTTGGACTTTAACTATTTAATAGATTAAATAAACAAAGCTATTCAACTTTCCTTTAAGAACCAAGAATTTTTTGTCGCAGCACCCATGCAAACATGGCTGGTGTAAAAGCAATGATTACACCAAGTGTGTGATTAATTTTTTTTGGGTACTTTTTATGATGGTAACTTTCAGGTTAAAATTGTTCATAGGATATTGTCTTCATATTAGTGCAAGCTTGTGCTCTAATATAGTAAAGTTTCTGTCTTCTCCTAATTCATGTATTATTTTACTTCCAGGTTAAAGTTGTTGTTTTCACAGAGATCACTTGAAGACCCCCATCACTGCCAGAATCCACAGCTGCTGTTATGATGAATGTGCAGGAGGAATCATGACATGCCAGGACAATGACTGATCAACATTTTACTTCAGGTAAATCCAGTCCTTTTTATTCTATGTATTTTTCATTACCTATGCCACTAATTTAAAAAAAAATGTTGTTGTTGTTGTTGTTTGTTTTTAACATTTTAACTTGATGCTTGATTTATCACACTGGGTATTAATCTTGAGGTAACCTGCCATGATTGGGATCTTGGAAATTTATTCCCAATGGATCATAAGCCGACCACAATCTTAGTTTTGGCCAGGAAAACCCTGAAAAGTGTGTAATCTGCTTATTAGTCTACTCTTTCAGTTTTGGCTGGGAAATTATTTTAAAGGTTTTCATCGAAACCTTAAAAATAATTGCTTATTAAAAAGACTTAAAACTATTAAACATTCAGTATTATCTATAACAGCGACTCACTTCACTTTTCTATATATGTATACCGTAACCACACTGAACAGAATCAGTCATATGCTCACACACTGACACAATCTTATTGTTTTCTATAATAGAATCAATGTACCTGGTG